TTTGAGTGAATCAATTAGAATCAGGAGATTTTCCCCACGAAGTTTAAAATTCAGTGAAAGATATCATATGCTTTAACACGAACTAAGTAAAAACTGTCAATATGTGTTTCCAAGGATACTTATGATTGATAAAAATGTCATTATCAGTTTAGGGGTTGTGGAGCTTGTTAAGTTTTTGATTGAGATCATGAATCAATTGATGTTAGACCACCATTGAAAACCTGAAAGCACTGGACGGTCATTCGCGCGGGAGACTGAAGGCCCTGGGTTCCAATCCCGCGAGCGGGATCGTGAATGCGCACTGCTGAGAAGTCCCACAATGGGACAAAACGGACGTCCAGTGCTTCCAGGTTTTTAATGGTGGTCTAGCATCAATCGGTTCATGATCTCAAACAAAAAATGTCATTCATGGAACTAGAAAGTGAGTGTAAAATGGTGTTTTTTTAGCTGAATTTCGAGAAACAACTTCACTTGATACATATTGTTTATGGGAGTATCTGATGTGATTCAATCCATAGTCAAGGATATTTAAGTAATAAATAAGTAGTTTCCCACTCTAACTTATAGCTATAAAACTTAATCCTAGGTTTTGAGATCTTACCAATAAAAGGATGGCAAAGTATAATTGTATTATAGCTGATGTCATTACATGATAAAAAAATCCTAACTCTTACTTATAAATTTAGTTCAACTCCTTATAGCTAAACCTAATTTTTCTATCTTTACAGTTGTGTGTTACAAGATGTAAGGGTTGATTATTCATATTCAAACTATTGACCCACTATAAATGTATTGCATTTTGTTGTCGATTCTTTTATAACTGAACACTGCATTCTGATTGGATAACAAGTGACTCAAAGTTATCGAATGCACAAAATGAGTAATCGGTTCATTAGATCATCACCCTAATTAAACTCTAATGTTTTAATAGTAATAATATTGTAATGAAGGACAACACAGGGGAGGACAGCCGAATTATATTTAGCCCAACATTACAGAGTTCCTTGGTAAAATAGAAAACTCATACTATAATAACTAATTCGCAAAATGTTCAATAATTATCTCGGATTTCATTGTTCATGCATTTCTATACTAATTGTTTTCTACTCCCGTTCTTCCTTTCTTGATCTTCTCAATCTTCTGCTGCCAGACACTACATTCCTGACTCGCGTTATATACTACTTATATCAATATAAGTAGCACGCATCACAATATGTTTATATTACAGTGAAGAGTTATGATAAAATAGTTACATCTTTATCAATATCAACCTGAACTACATGATATTTAAACGACCAAACATTGTTTATATGTTTTTTTCAAAAAAAATCTTGCAAGTAATTAAAACAAACTTAAATGCAAGATAACCATTACAATAACTAACATCATATTTAGCTCTAACCCATAAAGGACATAACATTCCATTAAAGAATCTATATAACAGTGTTTGCATCATAAATGTAAACTGTTTAGTTAATATTCAATATATTATTCCATCTGAATTGGTAATCCATTTGTCTTTAACCACTAACCATTGAAGTTTTTTGTGCGATCAAGTCGTAATAACTTGACATTAATACTGTTTAGTTTTATTAAATCAAGACGATTACATTCCATTCAACCCACTTCTTATGTAACATTAAAAAACCACTAGGAAATTAACTAAAAGAAAATGTATACTACACTATTTAAACAATAATCTTTATTTTGTTTTGTTTTTTTAAAAATAAAAACTAGCGCGCTATTCAAGCGTATACTGGCAAACATACTAAATAGATATATTTTTTCTCAACTTCAAAAGTTTATTTCGGTACGATTATTTATTACTAATAATCCTTTCTTCTATGTAATGACAATAAACAGTTGTTCATTATGTTATATGTTACACCGACTATTTTGGCATAGATTTCTACTAATGAAATTGTTCAATACATGACTCATCCCTTGAATACCTAGGTATTATCAATGATATATAACATGAATAGTTCTTTATACTAAATAAAATAATATTTTGTTTAACCTACATAAAGTTGTATTATGTGCTACTGATGTCGATAATTATAAGTAGTATATATCATCAAGTGAAATTAAAATGCCTGGAAGTAGAAGGTTAAGAAAATTGAAGAGAAGAGAACGTGAATAGCGAATGATTGGTATGGAAATGCAAAAACAAACACAATGAAGTTTGAGATGATTGACTGACATTTTGCAAATGAAGTATTTACGATATAGTTCTCAGATTTTATCAAGATGTTCTGTAATTTTGTGTTCTGGTTCACTATATTTAGTGTCGTTGCCAAGTTATCTGTTATCAATACATTACAATTTATACTATATTTAATTATTTAAATATCATTCAAATTATACTTAAGCGGTTTATAACAGAAGATTTCTTGTATTTCATGTTTGTTTCTAATTACGTCAAAAGAAATTCTTAAAATATCAATGAATGAGAATTTAGTTATATTAAAGTTTATAATAATATTACTTGGTAACTCACTCGTTAAGATTTAAAATAACAATAATGATGATTTACAGACTTATATGGAGTTTAAAGATGATAGAATTGTATCCTGGCAAAAATATATTTTATTGGATAAGATTCAATTCCTTTTGACTTAGTTGAGTAATCTTAAAGCCTTATTACAATTAATCGATAGAAAGTTTGTATAAATTCAAAGGTATTTTTTAAAGAGAAGTAATATAGTCAACTGATGTTTTGACAGTTTTAAAACGAGTAAGAGAGATAGAGAGTGTTCATTTTGCACAGCTTATTATCAATTTGTCTATCTTATTACCGTAGAAATATTGTTATATAACCTGATTGATTTGGGGTATCAATCTATTCATAATAATGCGTTCTCTTATAATTTATTTCATTAGCTGTAAATAGTCTTATGGAAAATTCATCATCTCCTATAATATTTTCATTAATCAATTTGATGAAAAGATGAAATTATGTAAAAGTCATGTGTAAAACGGTTTCCTATTTAAGTATTTTTATTTTACCAACTCACTTATTAATCAATGAACCGCTAGTAAAGTGATACATTTGAGAATTTACTATGAACACAAGAAACTGAAATGAAAACTGATTAGTACATAATTGGGCGGCCTGCTTGAGCATCTGGGCTACCTGTTCCTGTCATCTAAATATTTCAACAATTTATCTATTTTTGTTTGTTTTAATATATCATTATGTATATTAATCGCATAACCCATCCTAGTGCATTTCTGAAAAGTTTACAACCTTTCGTTGTCAAAGTTACAAAAAGCTCAGTAAGAGATAATGTGGTCGCTGGCAATATGTAGAGAAAAGAATATACATTATTCAGATGTTTATTTACTGGACTGCTAACATCTAACTGGCTATCACTCAATATTTATCGTCAGGATCGACCAAGAAGAAAGAAACGGAAACTTGTTGAAATACTTTGTGCTGCGAATTCTACATTGTACCGAAAATATAATATTGAATAAAGCTTATAATAATAATAATAATAATTTAAAATGTTTGCATAAAAAGATTACGTATTTGGTACGTTTAACTGCACCGAGAGCCGTTCTAAAATCGCTTGAGGTTCTAAGTCCCATAGAGATAGGTATATTTGTGGGATAAACAACCCAATATAATTAAAAAAGGACCTTCTTAACAAACACTATCTAGAAAAAAAGTTATTTGAACTCTACCCTGGGAGTCAAAGGATCTTTATAATGAAACGTTATGGCGTATCATAATGAAATACGAGATTATTTATGAGTCACAAAGCTGATAACTCTTCTGATAATCAGAACAACAATTAATATAGGTGCATAGAATATCCGGACAATGTGGGAGATGAGAACGATTATTCGAATTGCGGAGAAAAAATATTAGATCTTGATTTCTTTAATATTTTCATTTTCACACTAAAACGATAAAAAGAAATTTTCATGGAGTTTTGTTCTTTGAGATCGATGGCTTGGTCGTGGGGCTTTCAACGTGCTTCTGAACGACATCAGCACTTCTGGCTGAAGTTTGTGCCAATGATATTGTTTAGAATAACAATGAAAGCTCCATGACTAAACCATCCAGCTCAGAGAACGAAACCATCAAAATCATCTACTTGAGCTACATATCTTCACCATTTCAAAGACGTTTTCCTATCACTTTTAAATGTTCTGAATGGTATGCAAATATTTTCCTAAGGAGCACTTTAAATAAAAAAAAGAAAGGTATTTCATTATTGAATTTTATCTGCAGATAGATGTCATTCTGATTGATCAAGTCTATTCAGCTGTATTTTTATTCTTGATTTAACTATGTTCAATATTCACCTCAATTTGATGTTCCATTCAAATCGTAAAATAATCTAGATTTCATAAATGTGTCATTAAATCGCTTTTATTCCACTAGGTGTTATTAATAACTAAACTAGCCACAAGAACAATGAGTGATTTAACTGTAAACCCAAAAAAATCATTATCAGCTAGAATGATTTTTAAAGATTCTACTAAATTCTCATTATTAACAACTATTTTAGTAGTTGAGATCATGAGTCAATTGAAGCTAGACCACCATGGAAAACTTGGAAGCACTGGATGACCGGGTAAAGAAGAAGGATTGAGCATGGGATTAGCGAATCCATCCCGTAGAAAACTGACTCGCTAAAAAAACGCTAACCACAAATAATAATTTGAACCACTTAAACTCTGCCCTGGGAGTTAGGTCTTCATTTAGAAGAACTATTACGTCTCCTGGTAAAATCCGAGTTCCTTCGGAAGCCACGAGACCGATGCCCATTCTAACAATCAGATCAACAATTTTTATAGGTACATGGAACTTTCGGACACATTGTACCAATCGCCTTCTCTTAATTAAAGTAGGTCATTACATTTTCAACCGTAAGAAAATTTAAAAAAATTTTTTAATCAATAATCAATTTTTTCAATTTTAAAAAAATTATTTTAAAAAAAAAATAATTAAATATTTAAATAAATCAATAAATCAATAAACTTACATTTAAATAATCTATTTTTATTTTATAATTATTTTCTATATAATTCATTAAAAAATCATTTAATTGATAATATTGACTTAATATATTTGAAAAATCAATAAAAAATCTTGAACACATATATTTTTCCATTAATTTTATATCAATCATTTTACATGGTTTATAACCATTTATTAATAATTTACAATATTTTAATAATCCACCACCATATATTTCTTCTGGTTTATATATTACTATCATATTATTATTTAAATGTTTTAATGCTTCTATATAACTACATGCTACTGATTTAATTACTATAATTGGATAATAATTTTTATTGATTTTTTTTATTTTTTTATTTTTTTTATTTTTTTTTAAATCATAAAATTTTATTAAATTATTAATTATTATATGAAAACTATCAATTGTAAATTCATATTCACGTGATATACGATCAATAAATTTAATTTTTATAATTTTTTCATTCGATTTATTAATTGTATGATAACCAATAATAAATAGTAACCATGAATCATAAGTAGTATTTGTTGGTTTATAGATACGTATTATTTTTTGTATATATTGTTTAATAATCATAATAATAATATTATTATTACTTTTATTATTATTATTATTATTATAATTTATATTGTTATGTTGATTGAATGGATTCAATAATCTTGAACATGTTGAACATTTTGGACATTCTATAGATGATAATAATGAATGATGATGACATAATGAATGATTTAATTTATAATAATCATTATTATTATTATTACTTATTGTTTGTTTATTATTTAACATAGAATATTTAGAAGGATTCTCTTCTATAATGTTATTATTATTATATGATATAGTATCGAATTGATTTTCATGTAATGGTTGACGATGAATAAATGACTGATTGATAGGAAAATAGAAATTAGATAATTGATTTTTATTGATTTTTTGTTGATTTAAATTTTCTACATTTTCTTTATTTAAATGAACCGGTATATTGAATGGATTCAATTTATAATATGAACAATATTTACAATTATATGATAAAGATGATGATGATGATGATGATGATGATGATGATGATGATGATGATAAAGGATTCTGTGTTGTTTGTATTGTTGATACATTCAATGGTAATGTAGAATGATAACAAAATATACAATGATTTGTAATATTTGATAAATTTTCTAAAATAATTGTATCTTTTAAAATATTTTCAATACATGAATATATTACTGATTTAATTTTTGTACATGTTGTAGAATTAGATAAATCAACATAAAATAATAATTCTATATCATGAAATGTTTGTTTATTTTCTGAACCTGTAAAAGAGAAAATAATATCATCATTTAACAATACGTTTTAATATAAAGTTAATTCAATTGATTAATGATACAGTAAAGATTAATTGTATATCATTCAGAAATGAAGTGTATTTGGTGAAATGTTTAACTCTATCATTCATTGATACATAATAAATAGGTCTCGGGTTCCAACCATTCTCTAGGAGAGAACAAACCAGCTTCCAGTTGAAGAGGAAATTAGGAAAAGATGATAGAAATGGATAGGACATATATTACGCAAACCACCAAACTACATCACGAGGCGAGCCCTAATTTTGGATCCTGGAGAGAAGCGGAAAACAGGAACGCCAAAGAACAAATTCTTTTGGGAAATAGAAGCAGATATGAAAAGCATGAATAACAACTGGAAGGAGCTGAAAAGGACTGTACAGCATAGAGTTAGATGGGGAATGCTGGTAAGCGGCCTATGCCCCTTCACGAGGAGTAACAGGCGTAAGTAAGTAAGTGAGTTCGAACCCCGTGAGGTGAGATCACGGGTGCACACTGATGAAGAGTCTCACAATAGAACGAAACAGCCGTCCAATTCTTCTAAGTTTCCAATGATGTTTTAGCTTCAATTGACTCTTGATCTCAACTATTGAAAGTCACCCGTGAATTTGTACATTATAAAGATGATTAATAAATCATTTATTTGTTTCTTCGCTCATGGTAATTATTTCTTTCAACATTATCGAGTCAAATAATCAGTATAAATAGTTATTTCATTGTATTGATCATATTATTATAAAAATGAGGTTATAAACCGTTTTAAATTAGACAATCAGGTTAAACGTTCATGCGTAAGACTAAAGCTCTTGAGTTTCATCCTCAGTGACAGGGTTATGGATATATACTACTAGTAAGTAGTCTCGTATTAAAAAGAAACATGAAACGAATAATGCATTCTGGTTTTCAATCACTGTGTAGACTAGTTCGTGATCTCAGTAAAAGCAAGAAGCCTAGATGGTGACTATAATATAAAATAAAGATGAAATTTTAGTGATTTAATAAAAATTTGATTAGATAAGATTTTAAATCTCCATTGGATTCTATTCATATATTCATGTGAATTTTTTTGAAATATCTGGAGGAAGAAATATGCTCAGAGTTAATGAATTGCTTCAATATTGAGTATTTAATGGTCTTGCATTTCGTATTTTAAAAACTACGTAGTAAATTATTTATATCTCCCAATTTTTAATTAACTTTTAAATCATCTTACAATCTTTTAATTCGGGATCTACTTATATCTATTTCAGCTCGATTGAATACTGAAACTAATTTTAGTCTGATAACCATTGAAAATAGAGAAGCATTAGTCAATTGTTTCGTTCTAGTATAGGAATCCCATATTATGGTACATTCACGACTACACAAACGAATAAACTGATCAATTTTAAAAATATACTTAAATATAAATAAACAAAAAATTTTTTATCAGAAGGGGTTTTGTGGAGATTTTAATAATTTCAATAGTTGAAACCATGAGTAGATGCGCACTGCTGAAGAGTCCCATACTAGGACGAAACGGCCGTCCAGTGCTTCCAGGTTTTCCATGGTGTTCTAGCTTCAACTGAATCATGATTTCAACTATTGAAAAACGTTTTTAAAAAATTGTATTCTTTACAAAAAGGCAGTACATTTATTTGACTATTATACTGTGTAACATTGTTTTGATGATAGTATTATGTCTAAGGGCTAAACTAATTACATGATACATTATCATTTCCTATTTATTGAATATACCGTCAATTTAATCCGAATTATAACTGAAAATTATGTTATGAAATGTTCTTTTCACAAAATAACTTTAACCACTTCATTATACGTATAGGGGTTGTCGAGATTACTAAGTTTTTGATTGAGATCTTGAAGCGATTAATGTTAGACAGCCATTTAAAACCCGGAAGCACTGGATGGCCGTTTTGTCCTATCGTGGGACTCCTCAGCAGCGCGCATCCACGATCCCGCTCACAGAATTCGAATCCAGGGCCTTCAGTCTCGCGCGCGAACGCTTAACCAACTGGACCAATGAGCCGGCATCCAATTATGTTAGTGTCTAACATCAAACAATCATTTCATTATAAAATGACACTTTTCATTATGATAAACTGATGAAATTTTATACGTTTTAACTATAGATTTTCTAAATGATAATCAAACCATTGATTCAAAAATCAGTAAGTTATTTGCTCCTATACAACATCATTGGTAGATTATTGACTCAGCAATAAGTATGCCAATAACTCATAGATTTCAATCAACTATACAAATACTGAACGTATTAACAATGCTCATTCATAACGTTTAGTGTATATCGTTGATCTCATAAAGAATCGTACCAAAGACTTTCAGGTTTTGTGAGAGCTGACATCTGATGATTTACACTTAGCAAAAGTTCAAGGTTTGCTACCTCTTACTGCTGAGGGTGTTCATTGTTAGGTTTTATACTATGATGAGACCATTATTTAATGCTCATTGGTTCTTGAATATTTTTTGACTAAAATCATTCAACAATGTAATATACAATTAAACAATCTCCAACAAAACATTTTTAAATAGAGCAAGAACAAACATTGATGCAGAATAGTATGAATTCATATTATTTCGAGGTTTCTCGTCAGCTGCTTACAAACCAAAATTGTGATAGAATTTTTTACATGGAGATAGTGTGAAACAATTGACATAAATGAGTGTAAATAACGTGATTACAATAATAACTATATATACATGCTAGAAACAGGTCAGAGGTCAAAAGAGGGGAGTTAATCAAGGGTGGGTGATGTAATAATTTAATGAAGTTCATAAATTGTGTGATAATTATAGAGATTAATGGAATTATATAATGATAAGGTAGATTACGTAATAATAATTAAATAGGGTTTGGAAAGTTAAGATGATTTAAGAGGATCAGGTGACGGAAATGTGTGAATAAAATTTATTTTAAGAATCAGGTAATAGGGGGGGAGTATAAATTATCTTAGAATAAGTAAATGAATAAAATAACCAAAACACAAAACAAACAGAAACAAAAAGATTACCAGGGTAGTGATAAGTTTATTAAAGTCTCTTTTTGGATGCATAAGTCCGGTTTCAGTTTCTTAATTGCAATGGCTTCAGCAAAGCGGAGAGTGGTAGTAGTTCTTTGTCTATTGATTATTTTAAACGCGTGCATAATGTCGACGGTATGCCCGGTCATTTTTACACTAAAAAGTGGTTGATCACTGTTTGAATAGTCTAGTAAATTGTTGATTAAATTGATTTCAATAACCATTCAGATAGTTTGTATTTTGTAACAATAAAACCTAATAATAACAGAAGGCTATTTTGAAGAGATTGTACAATTTTCATAGATTAAATCATAAACTGACTGAGGTTAGATATATTCAGCTTTATTTCCTGGGCTAGTGATCTTGTAACCAAGCATTCGCACACAATACTGATGATCCGGGGTTCTATTCCTGAGTCCAGGGTCATGGTTGCGTATTGTGTTTAAGTAACTCCGTACTACAATTAGACATCTGTTCAGTGCTTTCAGGTTTTTAATGGTGGTCTGGCTAAGGTTATCCTAAAATTTAAACTGAGGATAACAATTATGTCTTCAAATAATACTAACATTTATTGCATAAGTATATTAGATATAAATTAAACTCAAATCAGACATAATGCAGTATAGAATGAATTTTGCATTGTGTTCAATATCTGTTGATCTCTACTTTGGTTCAGTTCTCAAGTGCATGAAACTGTGTTGGACCGTTTCACTGGATCTAAATTTCAATAGGTACATAATATAAATGTTGTTTGTTTTGTTTAGAAATCACCAGATGTGGCTCATTTGTAATTATTATATTTCTATTATACTGTTGTCAACTGATATTTACAAACACATGTAATAAATCTCTGCCGGTTACTAAACTCGGTAAATGGATGACACTATTTGTATGTTTAAACAAATTCTTTATATTTCATTTTGTTCAGGATTATACCATATAGATTAATTGGTTTAAGTGTAATCGAATTATATGCTTATTATGTTCAGCTGAGTGGTTTTTCTTTACCAAAATATGCATAGAAATATATCATTCTGAGAAACAAATTATCTCTGGCTTTAATCATGTTCGAAAAATTTGAATCTAAATTAGAGATAGAGTGTTGACTAGAGGTCATTGTTATTAAAAATAATCGCATAAATTATTGGCATTTATATAAATCGTAAAATAATAATAACCGATCCCATCATTTGTAAAATTGTTGATATTATTAGGCCAGAAGTTTATGAACTACAAAATTGAGAGGTATGAAAATTTGTTTACTTATAATAAAGCAAACGCTAATAATCATATTAAACCGCAGATGTCATTATGGGATTGCGCAGATTGTCAAATTTTATTACGATCACAAGCCGATCGAAGAGAAATGGCTGTTAAAGACATGGAAGGAGAGGATAGTCATTCCGCCTTAATATGAAATTGTTAAGTAATGCTTACCTACGACCCCTAAAATGAGAGTCGCATCTAGGACCTCCGGTCGCGCTCGCGAACGCTTAGTCTCATGACCAATGAGCTGGGACCCAATGCTTTACATGCATAAATTCAATCAGTCCGACCATCTTTCATTGTTCCCAGTCGATAATTGCCTCATACACGACACTGTTTAGATCCACTGATCACGACTCCTCACTGGGACTCCGGATATTTCCTCTTGAAGCAAGACAATAACGAGCACATGACAATTTTCATCAACAAGTTATAGAGATTGTAGATTAATTGATGTTATATATTAACATCGTCGCATAGCTACTCGGTGGTCTAGAGGTTAGGTGTTCACGGTCGAGACCGAATTTTCTGGGTTTGATACACGTTTGTGGAGTCGTGGATGCGCACTATGGAGTAACTTCATACCAGGATTTTAGTTTTTCAATGATTGTCTAGCTTTGACGGGTCCGTGATTTGAGTGATAAGCCACATCTTTTTTTATTATAACTATCATCTCATATAGTCATTCACAAGTAATTGTTCGCACTTTTATACAAGAAAATTGTGAAATCAGCAAGATAGACATTAGGACAACAATTCTTAAGGACAAGAGACACACAAATGATTGTTTAAAACTTACCAATAATAATAGAACTTGCAACTTCACCATTTAAGCGTATCTCTTTAACTGGTATTGATTCTTTCAGTAATCCATCGCGTATTGTTCTAATAAGTTTCTTTAATTGTGTACGAATAGTTGGTAGTTTCAGTGGTTGTTGTAATGTAAACGGAATAGGAGAATGTGAAATTGTATTGTGATGATTAGGTAAGCAAGAATCATTTGTTAGATGTTGATAAGCATTATTTATGTTATTATCATTGCTTGTGTTATTGATTTCACTATTGGAAGAGGCGTCAGGAATGGATGTTACTAAATTATTTCCTTTTGATACTGGTACTGTAGTTGGAACGGATGAAGAGATTACTTTATCAATATTATCACGATTTTCCGTATTATTAAAATTAGTCGAATTATTCAAACAGTCAGATGATAAATGATCTGAATGTTTTGTATATGTTTGTTTCATAAAATCATAAATAATTGGATCATGTGTACAGAAACATGAACATGGTTTACTAATGATTGTTGGTAATGATGTAGTTGTTAATGATAATGATGATGATGTTGATATAATATTATTTGTACCTAAAAAATTTTGATACAAAGGTTTTGGTGAAATACTTATAAATGAATTCATTATTTCATCTAAATATTTCACTTGTTCAAAATTAAATATATGATAACGATTTGATGTACATGATGGATTTAATGTATTAAAATCAACATTCATTGGAACATCAGATAAAGATGGTCCATAATCTTTACTACGTTTAAATCGTCCATAATCAGAACGTTTATAAAATGTACTATTTGTATTATTATTATTATTATTATTATGATTACTATTATTGTTATAAGTAGTATTAGCAGTAGTAGTAGTTGTTGTAGTAGTAATAGTAGTATTCGTACAACTAGTTACAAGTGAACGTTGTAATGATAATTTATTATTTCCTTTATTTATATCATTCTCTTCATTATGATAAGAATAATTCAATATTGGTTTATATGTTGTATAATTCATTAAATTAAATGTTTTACGTTTTTTATAAAATTTATTATAATTTAAATTTAAATAATATTTTGTTTGTTTATTATGATAATTTGTAATGATTTTTGGTAATTTTATACGGAATTCATAATCAATATTTTCTTGGATACTATACATTTTCGGAAATGATTCTAATCTTGTTTTTAATTTACGTTCAATGGTATTACAATTAGTAGTACTATTATTATTATTATTATTTTGATTATGATCAGTGATATAAAATGAATGTTTTAATGTATTATCTGATAGTTTATTGTTTATATACATTACTGATGATGGTGATGAAGATGATGATATCGATGATGATGACGATGATGATGTCGTTGACGAGGATGAGGTTGAGGATGAAGATGAAGATGATGTTGAATAAGGTAAATTAGTTGGTAATTTATAATCAGTTTTAAAATCTTTCATATTTAAGTAAACTTTTCAATATTTTTTTTGTTGTTGAGATAATTTTATTTTTCGGTGTCAATTTTTAGATAAATTTGACAACATTGTTGTTATTAGTCTCTGGGTGTATATATGTGTATGTATGTATGTATGTGTGTGTGTGTTTATATACATGTATATACTGATATATTTGTCCTTAAAATGATTCCTATATATTGTTTAAATGTTTCATAGATTTTATTAGGAAACAAATGAAATTGTTCAATGTTGATAAATAAAACAAATAAAATTTTAAAAAATGATAATCATAAATAATCTTTTTATCATTTTTTTTTAACTTTTGTTTTTATTCATTTAAGAGATAAAAACTACTCAAATGTACTTTATATATTAATGAGTTATAGATATATATATAACTCAATACGAACAAGATTTTTTTCCCAATCAATTTTCCCTATATTTATCAATGATTCGTTGAATTTTACGATATAACCTTGACCCGTGAATTATGATTGGTTGATAGAAATGATCTCTATTATCTATTTGAATGAATTCAACTAATCTATCAATTTTTATTCTTATTGGTTCATTATTATTATTATTTTATTTGAAATGTATACAGTGGGTGGAAAAGAGTATCATGGAAAAGATAATTATGATATATATGAGAACTATGAAATTTTCGAAAGAATCGTTATAATAGCTTGATAGAATATTTTCTTAAAGATATAGGTAGATAGATAGATGTTTCTAAAAAGAATTATTAGCTAAATTTTTCTTGTGATCACAATGGGTTTTATGGAGATTATAGTAATATTAATATAGTTGAATTCATGAGTTGATATAAGCTAGACCATCATTAAAAATCTGGAAGTACTGAAAGGCCTAGTTTGTCCTAGTATGAAACTCCTCACTAATGAGCAAACATGATCACTTACCAAAGGGACTCAAACTCAGGACCTTCGATCTCATTTGTGAACGCTTAACGTCTAGACCACTGAATCAGCATCCAACGATGTTAATGTCCAAATTCAATCGATCTATGAATTGTTGCTCATTTATTCATCCATTATATGAGATAGATAACTGTCTCTACCCGAAACGGTTTAGACTCCATTGATCATGGATTCTCACTAGAACTTCAGTCACTAGTGAGCATATGATAATGATGATTATTAGAATGGGTTTTGTGAAGATTGTTATAATTTTAATAGTTAAATTCATGAGTTGATTCATCAATTTAAATATTAAAATTTTTATTAATCAAAACAAATTTCTCAGCAATAATTAAAATTTCATAATTTGAACAAAACTGTTATCTAAAATCAACATTATCCAATTGTATCTACCTCATCATCAATACTTCGAAAATTTTATAAAAGTCAACATTTAAGCAATATGAAAACGTAAAATTCAGCAAAGGAATCTCTGTTCAATGAATTTATTATCAAGTTGTAGAATCGTATATATTTGTATGAATTTTTCTAACTATTAATTCCGTTAGGACATACGAACAATGAATCGAGATGATGTTGTAATAAAGAGATTATAATACTAGATGAAGTAATGCAGATAGTAACAATAGAATATGTTATATATATGGTCAGGGTATATTTATTCCCTTAAAAACTACAGAGAACTTTTTATATTTTTTTATTATGGATAGATGTAGAATTTAGGATGCTCGCTTCGTTCAAATTGGAGAATTCTCAGATCTAATGAATAAGCCAGAGATTAACTGGACTCAGCAGCTTATTCATAAAACGCTTACATTTAATGTGATTGGTACTGGATCAGAACTACATTTAGAACAACAACAATACATTCGATTGAGGAGTCCTGATTACAGAGAAATGCGCGTGTGATCAATGCTTTATTCCTTGACATCAAGGCAGTAATAAGCGTGTAGTCTGTTTTTTAAAAATATCATACTAACAACAATCATAATTTACTAAAATGTTATTAGACCATACTTTCTTAGTACCTTTTTAGTCTGTATTACTTTTTTTATTAGTAGTATGGTTCCGAGAACAAGACTGACAGAAATTCAGTCTTTGAATATCAAGTATCGGATAACATATCCTCACTGATAATCATATAAATATCATGCCCGTTAAACAGGTAAATGAATATCTTAACTCAGAAGCTAAGTAGATGACGTGTTGGCATTTAACGTGAGATGTGTTGGATTCGAGTTCGGATGTGTCTATCAAAGCTAGGATGTAATATGTCAAGCTGACGAATTCTAAATAGGATGAGGATCGTGTCCTGGATTCCACTGCTATTCAAAATCCATTTTTTCTATATATCGGGTTGTTATTTCCTGCCTGAAATGTATCTCTAAATAATTCTTTATATGCTAACAATCTTTAAATGTATTAAATACTTTAAACGTTTATCAAAGGAAAGTTATTTATTTTGATAAAAACAAATGATAGCGAATTTCTTGAAAAATAACAGCATTATTTATATGTATGTATGTATCCGGAATTCACACGACAAACTACAATGCAAAGTCGCGTATGGAGGACAGCTGACAGACGCATTCCAAGTAAGGACTGATGTTAGACAACGCTGCTAACTCTCCTTTTCTCTGTCTTCTGGTGATAGACTGGATTATGAAGACCTCCACATCTGATGGGTAGCACAGAAAGCAATGAACAGCTTGCACGCAACTAGATGATTTAGACTTGCAAATGAACTGGCTCTTCTAAAACATACTCACCAACAAATTCAGGAAAAGACAGTCAGTGTAGCAGCAGACTCTGAAACATCAGGTATCATCGTACACAAGCGAAAAAGCGGGATCCGGAAATTCAATACACAGAGCACCAAACAAATCACACTTGATGGAAAGGCTCTGAAAGTGGTGGGAAGTTGTACGTACCTAGTGAGTATCATCTACAAAAAAAGACGATCTGATGCAGATGTAAGGGCAAGGAATGGCGAAGCTAGGGTAGGATCCCTACAGTTGGAACTCAAAACAACTGTTAACCAACATCAAAGTTAGAATCTTCAATACGAACGTCAAGTCAGTTACTTCTGTTGTATGGAGCTGAAACGTGAATAACTACCACAACCATCATCAAAAGGATTCGAGTATTTATAAACAATTGTCTACGCATATAGCGAATATCCGTTGACCGGATGCAATCAGTCACGGTCTATTGTGAAAGAGAATAAACCAACTTCCAGCTGAGGAGGAAATAAGGAAAAGAAGTTGGGAATGGATAGTACACACTTTGTGGGAAACATCAAACTGCATGATGAGGCAAGCGCTATCTTGAAATCCTGAAGGAAAGAGGAAAAGAGGAAGAGCATGGAACATATTACGTCGAGAATTGGAAGCAGATGTCATAGGAATGAATGGCAACTGGGAACAACTAGAAAGGACTGCACCGTACAAAGTTCGATGGAGAATTCTAGTGTGCATCCTATGCTCCTCCACGAAGAGTGTTTATATACGTATGAATAATCAGCTAACCGAACTCAAAATAATACAGTTATTAACTAATTAAAAACTTATCTTGTAATGACTTGAAATAATAACAATAGTCAATGTAAAAATAACTGAAGATTTCAATTTCCCCGTGTTAACTGAATAAAATTACTCTACGTCACGTTAAGACAGAATGAAATATAAATGAATAATTAATAATTAAATGATTACTTATTAAATTTTCATTTAAGTTAGATAACTTGAGTAAATCAGATAAGAGTTTTGTCCAACTTTAAGATGTTCCGACCGTTTTTCACTCACAATCTTATATAAGTTTACCTGATAGATTGGATGAAATTTCAATGAATAGCGATAAACTCTATTGGTATATTGCATTGTTCATGTGTTATTAATTCGATTGTAGGTAATTAAATTTAGTAATATGAGGAATATAAATTTCACATAACCAAAAAAAATCAACTAAATTTTACGAATTAAACATTCATTAAAAGTTAAGAGGCATCAGGGAGTTGTTTCACTCTAGTATGAGATCATCTATTAGTGCACATTCACAAGTTGAATACGGATCTAAGCCTGAACCTTTGAGTCTTGAGGTGATCACTTAGCCTATAGACCACTGAGACAACATTACATGATTTGTATATTTGACTTCAATCAGTTTGCGTTATCGCACAGATATTTTTGAATGTTGTACCTAAGGATATAAAGCATTAGGTTCCAGCTCAGTGAGTTATAGGTTAAGCGCTCGTTGAGAGACTTGAGTATATATTTGGTTAGATCAACCTGTGAATTCATGAATGAACGCTGTTCATGGGTTATATATTAAGACAAAATAACTGTCCAGTGCTTTTATAAAATTAAACCACTTCTATAAGCTCCATTAAGCTACTTGAATATTGGTCAAAATTCAACTCTAACATCAATTCTACTTAGAATAAACTAAAAGAACAACAATTATCAACCGTTAATTGTAATAGTTGTTTCTTTCTAAAAATAAAGCAATTTGATAGTTACTTCTGTCAAAAGGTTAAAACATAAACAATGTTTTTTATACATATCTGTAGAATTTAGAATGTGATGCTTTCCATTTTTGGTTCGTCAACTTGATAAATCTACAGCCTAGTGTTTATATTATCAGTGATCCTCAAACCCAATCATTGTCATTTCCAATATGTAAGACATTTATCTACTTGACTTGTTAACCATAAACCTCATAAACTTATTCAAACGGTATAAAGTTAAGTCTCTAACTCTAAGGATTTGTACAAGTACGATGGAAAATGGAATTAATGATACTAATCCAGATTGATTCAATGATATGAAATTATCTTTGTATAAAGATTGATTTAAGTTTAAAGGATAACTATGTAGTTTAGTTATCGCTATTAGGTACAATTCGAAAAATTGATCTGAGTTTATAGTAACTGAGTAATGAAATACAAATATCAATCAAATCTTAAACTTTCCCACCATTCCAAATGATAGTTTTTCTTTCGTTTAGTAGTTTGGTTAGCGGAATCACTGGTTAGGTTCAATGTTATTAACAGCCTTGTTTTGAGCTTACAGAATTATTTTGAACTTGACAAACATGGAGTTCTAGAGGCAACTGGACAACATCATACTCATCTATTCCTTTTATTGAATCTCATAGATTTTGTTGGAAGGTTATCTAAATACTACCTCCAACCATGTATCATGGAACTTGACTATTTATCAAACTGAGGATTACGGTTTATAGTCAGCTTCCTTGTAGAGAAAAGATAGTTAGGTATGGTTAAAACTTGTGTTGCTTTCCTGATAAAATGATAAACATATCTAATATAAAGTTACTTCACATTAAACTGAACGATTGAACACTAAAAAAACGACAACCAACACACGGATTCCAAAAGACGATTAATAAGTAAAGAATAGGTGA